TCCGATCACTTCGCCAGACTTGACATCACACGTGATACCATCCCAAGAACAACAGTCACTGTTATTCACCCATGATTCTGTTTTTGGATAAGAAGGGTCTTTAAAAGAAACTTGTGCAAAATAAACAACCCAAACAGGTTTCTTGATCCCAAACTCAGTCTTGAACTCAAGAAGAACATCTCTTTGGTCGGGATTACACAAGTCATGTTGTGTAGGAGAAACAAACGTGTTTAGAAAACAGGAAATGAGGAAAAAGAAACCAAAGGAGCGAAGAAGAAAGCTCATTTTCTGGTTAAATAAGAAAATTATCATATTTGTGAAGGCAAGTAAATATTCAAGTAGTGATGATAAATTAGTGTTGAGGGTCACTTTATATATGTAAAAAACATAGAGATCCATCGACTTGATCATTTGAAGTCTTTTTGATCAACGTGCCGTGTAGCTTAAGCTAGTTCGTCAACTTCAGAATGGACTTTTTTCCCTAGTGACATTTTTTCCATGAAATAAATGTTTTGGAAGTGTTCCTCAGTTCCAATTCCAACTTAGAGGAAAGGTCAATAAATACTGCCTTTTCTAAAATGTGTCTTGCCTATTTCACATTCTGTATATCAGAGATAAAATTAATTACTTTATTTGAACCAAGATTACTGTATTGCAATACAGTATTGCCTACTTCAAATTAACTACTGTATTGCCTTAAAACCATACTTATATGTCATTTACAAGATTAAGATTAAAAGAAAACACAATACTTGCAGGCTTGCAGAAGAATTGCATTGTAACTTTAAGCACATAAACCTTGGTTCTTAATATTCTAAAGATGCCATAGATACCCAAATTATATTTTAGCTCTATTGTCTTACGGTTAGACTCTTACCAAAAGAAATTATGTCCGGTTTGAAATTCTAAGCCCCGTTTTATTGTCCGCTTACAAGCGATGTGGGATCACGGGTTAGTCCAATATATATGAAATTAATTTTTTTTTTAAATCTCTTTGTATGTTCTATATCAATCTGATCACAAACGCCAAACATTTCAAGCATATTGTCTAGTCTGAAAACTATTTTAGCTAATTATGTACATCTCCAGCTAGGATAATTTTATTTCTCGAAAATTATACTTAGAATGAATGGTAGGGGCTGCGCGAACGCAAACCCCCTCTGCCACAAATAATGACGTAGGCTCTTCCACTTGGGAAGACCTTAGGCGTAGCACCCTTCCTATATGTGCAATGGAAGTTACCAGCCTAGGCCACTCGTCTTCATGATCGCGAGTTGACCCCGTCCAGGTAAGTAATTTGTTCATTGTCAAGAGTACGTTACTTATACTCTTTTTCCGTAGCCTCCTCCTTTGCTTCTAATCGATGTGGGACTTTTGCTAAAATTCCACACTGCCCGCAGTTCTAACTTCTTTAAGACGCACCGCGTGCCGTTTAAGTGCTCCCTTTGTTGGACGACGTGTCGGACACAGGCTTAATAAAACGCAAAAGCTAAGGCTTTTGTTTGAAATGTTCTCTACTGGGCCGGTCACTTT